TTTTAACTTATTTGATAACTTATGCCTAAAATCATTAGTCTATGATTTAAGGAACACATAAAAAGTGATTAATTTAAACTAGAATAAACCTTAGACTGTACAATGATTAGTGATAATTTATGAATTTATAATTTACAATGACTAATAATAAGTAATATTAGTTACAAACTTACAAATTACAATGAGTAGTGATAAGTTATATTACTTACAAACTTATAATTTATTTCAAATCAAAATAAAACTTATTTACTTACATATATTATTGTGAAAGTCAATACACTAGTACATTGATTTGCAATTCATATGCATTCACTTACACTGCAAACTACTTAGTTGTCTTATCTATACTTAAAGTCTTAAGAATTAAGATTAGTGAATAGATAATATGAATTTTTATGTTAAATATGTAGAGTACACTAATACTTGCAAGTTAGAGATTACGCATTCAAATATTCAATAATTCAAACATGAATGATGTATCAAATTACCAATATCTAAATTTAATTACTAATTATGTTTATTGTTTAATATTTAGTATTATACATATATGTGTTAATTATTATCTAATTCTAGTCATGTTACTCATGTATAAAATAATAAGTATTATAGTTATCTTATATTGTTATGTATTACTATATATTGGTATTATTATAGTCATATAACAATTAACAAATACTAAAATAACATATTGTACATTATTATATATTATTATTATTATAAGTACATGATATGATGATAAATTGATAATACCATATACTAATTATTATTAATAGCATTTACCTATATAATATAATAAAGTATTAGTAGTATATACTAATACTAAATAGAATTTATCTATATATTATATAATTTTATATACCAATTTGGTAATTCGAATGCCGTAATGCGGTACCCGATTTCAATTACCGAATTTGAATGCGAAATCGGTTATTACCTAATTCATAATCTCATTACCTATTTCATACCATATTAGAATTCGGTGAATTTGGTACATACCGAATTTGTACCAAATTACCAAATACCCGATTTCAAATTACCGAATTAAATTTGAAATCGGTTATGAATTCGGTAAGAACCGAATTTGCTCACCCCTACAATGGGACAATTCCTCCCCAATTAGGAAATCTCTCAGCCTTAGACTATTTCGATCTTGGCAATAAATTAGAATCTTTTAGTGATCGGGTAAGTGGTTATTATTTGTCGACAAAGAGTCTCTGGTGAACCACTAGTCTTTCTTCCTTGAAACATTTAGAACTCTCTGAAGTGGACCTACGAGAGACTCAAGATTGGTTACAAGCACTTAACAAGTTTCGTTCCTAATCCTCGTTAACATTACAATATTGTCGTATTTATTTCTTTCCTTATATTGTACACCTTAATTTCACATATCTCATCTCACTTGACCTCGAAGGCAATGAATTTAACTCCACAATTAGATACAGGTCCATCTCCTCCCCTTTTCCGCTAGTGGATGACCATTTGTAACAATGTTGTACTTGAATTTGTATCCCAAAAAGGAATAAAACCAAAATTTTATAAATCATTTCATGCTAATATTTCTTACCTTTTCAAAAACATAAAATTAAAGGGGGACGGGATAAAAGCAGATAATTATTTAGTATCGAGGTCAATAAACTTTCTTTTGCCTTCTCATATGTGCTTCTATATATTGATCCTTCGATGAAGTCTTTGTGAACTGATTTTGTTTATAAACATTAAACAGACTATCAAATTCCCTAACCACTATTCAATTGTTTATTTACTTTGTGTCCTTTTTTTCCCTTGACTGGTGCATTTAACCCAAAATAATTCTTTTAAGCTTAGAAAGTTCAAAAATTTTGTAAATTGATCTTTATTTGCCATCTCAAAATTTTTAAAATTTTCTTTCCTATCTACATTGCCCCCCCCCCCCCCCCCCCCCCCCCAAAAAAAAAAAAACCCCAACCTAAACAAGTAAAATTTATAGTTCTTACACTTCACAAGAGTTTACATCTAAATAAGTTTAAATATTAATGCTAATCCTAGAATAAACTCTTTTGACAAAACTAAACTCTTTACTGCTACATCATAGTCACGATCTAGCTATACAAGTAGATGGTGAAAAAAAACAAGGCATGTTTCAGATAGAAGTTCTTTGATTTAAACTTTAATATTACTATATTTCATGTCCTCTCAATTTCATGTCTTCTCAAGAACTCATCTCTTGCAGAGAATTGATCCTGACCCTAAGGTTCTGACTCTATCACTGCAACAAGTACCATGTAAAGAATTCATGAAAGGACGAGTTATGCTTGCTGTTTCATGCACTAGCTCACACAGAAGATCATCAAAACAGAGAAAAAAACCATAGCAGTAGTATACTCCTTGATAAAAATAACACATAGGCACACAGCACAAGACTTGAGAATTGGCAGTTTCTTCCTAATTCTTAAGGTTTCATACATTTTGGTCATAGCAGGCTAGCACTAGAAATTATAAAAACAGATGGTCAACGAAAGAGTTGAGTTTTAGGCCGTTTCTGTATTGGTCAGTGGTTTTGCATTGTTGTTCTTATTTCAAGCATGGCAATTAAGTATAACTACTGCTTGTTATTTTTATACTCTTTCCAAAGAGACTTTAATGTTTTGATATCTTCACAGGGGCAACAAAATTTCAGAAGCATCCGATCAAGTCATGGCAAGAGAAAAGCCAAAACATCAAAAAAAAAAAAAAAGAATCAAGTTTTGTTTGTCCTTATGTTTCAATTCATTTGACCATAATAGTAAACTAAGACTTTGTTTGATAACGCAATTCAACACTTAAATTTAATGGATTCAGATCTTAATATATTCAGACGGGTTTGATAATAAAAAATTGAACATCTTAGTTAATTAAGTGGCACTGAATTTTCTAGACAAAACTTGCTCCCAAAATTAAGTGATGAGCTATTCACTTATTACTGAATGTGATATGCATTCAAATTTAAATTTGATACTTAACCATTCAATAACTTAATGGATTCAAACTTTAAATTTCAGATTTCAGATTTAAGTTTTCAAACTTTAATTTTATCAAACGCACTCTAAATCAAGGGACCTTGTTGGAAAAATTGTTCTTTCTTTTCCTCATCCTTTCAGCAACAAGAACACCTGATCTCACATGTTGACAATGCGTTCTAGACAAATTAGACGAACAGATTATCTTGGTAAGTTCTAAGAAACTAACTTTAATTTCTTAGAAAAGACAACAGATTAGATTTAACTGTTACTACAATTTTACTCTAATAAAGTGGTATTTTATAAGTCGTTAAACTATCCCCAGAATGAGATGAAATTTTTTACTTTTATTAAAAATATCACCTCCGCTTTGTTGAAAATAGTCACATTTGGTTTCTTTTTAACTAAGAAAGACATACCCTTGTTCTAAGCATCACTGAATAATCTATATCTTTGTTTTATTGAAAAAAAATCGTATCAATTCATTTAACTAATGAATAACAAACTATTACCTGTTCCAATGGCTTAAATAATTGAATTAGAATGCCTTTTTATTGGAATTATTCTAATATTCCCTTTAAATCAAATTCTAAAACTAGTCATTTATACTTTTACTTCTAAACAACTTAGTGTGGGGCAACACTGAAATTTTTCAAAAATTTTATGGATGTTAATGAAAATTTCTGAGGACAGTGGGGCCTGTGCCCCCAGTAAGATCCGCCACTCTATAATTATTGACATGAATAAACATCACAATATGGTTGATGATCTGAATAAATTGGCATAAATTACATCTTAATCACACCTCATACCACAATCATAGGTGTTTCGACTGAGATGCAAGGAAAACGAAGTTGTGATAGAGACTAACACTAAAAGGTTTTGTGATCAGATCAAATTACGTGTGATTCGTCTGTAGATAAGATAAGTGACCCACGTTCTTAGTCCTTACACTCACGTAACATTAATACCCTGAAAAGTGAAAACTGGCTATAGTAAGGCATAAGGTATTGTGCGTCTACACTCTAAAATTCAGGCTTTTTTGAAAATATCGTCAACCGGTACATAGGCACCCGTCTGGACTAGTGGTGTCTAGATCAATGGTGGTTCAATCCCTTTAGAGTTTTTCTTGGATCTCTTCAAGTCCCCCTCTATCTGGTATAAAGTAAATGTAGGTTTATTGTGTTTAAAAAAAAAGTATAAGGTGTTGTGGGGATGAAAGAAAACGGAAATGGACCTCCTCGAGCTTCAGTTTTAGTTCTATCCAATTGTATAACCTGATAAAACTTTGATGTAAACTGATACAATTTTAATATAAATGTGAATTATAGTTGAATTGATGTAAAACTCGGGATTATATAAAAATATGTTGTGTCAGTTTATACATTTGGATGGGATTGGACAGAACATCAACTCGAGAGGCCATGCATCCAAAGAATACCTATCCACTTTCTGAGCTTTTCTTTTATAACCCATTTGGGTTTTAACAAAGGAACTGGTATCAATGTTTTCTCTTACGTTAACCTCATCCAAAGGACGAAAAGTACGTGAAATATAATTAAACATCAAAGAATTCTGCTAAAGAGTTACGGTGCATGGCGGTTAAACTTCATAGATTAGATTCATTTTTGTGTAATCATGTATGCAGCTTCAAAGAGTAGAAAGAAGTTGATGTACAACTGGACCAAAAGGGATTATTTTGTTGACACCCTTATAATTCTAAATTCTTTTTGCCCTTCCCAAATTTTATTCCTTTTTTTCATGCTTCATCATTTAATCATCTAAAATTGTGCATCTAAATTATGGTTTAGGTCTTCCGTTACACTTTTCCATGTTGTAGTTTGTTATACAATTTCTTAAAGTGACAAGTGTCCCGTAAAGAAAGATATTTTAAAACTTGAATACAATTTTCTATGAAATACGTGTGTCTGATAGATAGAGTAACAAAAGTGTACGTATACAAAAAGTTGTGATAGAAAATCTTTTGCCCTACATTTATGTAGAAAAATAAAAATAAAACTATGATATAGATGTAAACATATACATCATTGTACCATTGTATGTGATGTAAAACAAAAGCAGGCCTAGCAGTTTCTTATCATTGGCCGGCATATGCAGACGTTCCTTGGGGTAATTAATTACTCAAAAGCCATACTTGTTTGGTTTGATGTTCGTTATCTTCATTCACAATCTGTGAAGTAAGAACAGAATCAAGAACTAGCTAGTTAAAGTAAAACCTCCCTACTCTGGTCTCTATCTCTCTCTTTATGCCGATCTCTGCATATGTTACTTATCTACTTGAATGTCACGGAAGTTTTTCCCTGCAAACTTTTCATTTCACTACTAGCAGTAATAGGAAATCTACATTGGCCGGCCATCCACGGTTTTATGTATATATGCTCTCTTCATCGGATTGTTCTTCATCCCTTTGTCCTTATTCCATGATATTAATCTTTTTCCTAATCAGTTTCTCAAGTAGTATAAATAACATGAGAATACTAGATCATTCCTTTGCTACTACTGTTCAGGAATACATCACACTTTGAGATTAATTAAGTAGCTAAGATGAAGAAATTCATGATCTTGGGAAGTGATAAACCACTAACCTTTCTTGTCCCTGTAATTATTAGCATCTTCATCACTTCATTTGCAGTCCCTTCATTGTGTACTGCTCCCCTGATTGAAACTTGTTTGGTTGATTATGGGGTCAAGAACTTCACCCTCTTCCCAAGTAATCATGACCATGGTGAAGACACGAGGGCTTACTACAGCTTCCTCAATTTTTCCATTCAGAATCTTAGGTTCGCAGAACCCTCGATGCCTAAACCAATAGCCATCATCATGCCAGAGAACAAAGAGCAGCTAGTCATGACTGTGCTGTGCTGTAGGAAAGGATCTTGGGAGATTAGAGTCAGGTGCGGGGGACACAGCTACGAGGGGACTTCCTCCATTGCTACAGATGGCTCTGCTTTCGTCATCATCGACCTGATGAATCTGAACCGAGTTTCGGTGGATTTGGAATCCCAAGTGGCTTGGGTGGAAGGAGGCGCCACTCTAGGCCAAACTTACTATGCAATTTCAGAGGCCAGCAAAGATCATGGATTCTCAGCAGGCTCTTGCCCGACGGTGGGGATTGGCGGGCACATTGCAGGAGGGGGTTTCGGTTTGCTGTCCAGGAAATACGGGCTGGCTGCTGATAACGTGGAGGATGCACTCCTGGTGGATGCTGATGGGAGGGTTCTGGACCGGGAAGCCATGGGAGAGGAGGTGTTCTGGGCTATTCGGGGAGGCGGTGGGGGAATTTGGGGGATCATTTACGCTTGGAAGATTAAGTTACTCAAGGTCCCTGAAACCGTGACAGGTTTCATATTGTCTCAACCTGGCACCAAAAGGTATGTTGAGAGGCTAGTGCACAAGTGGCAGCATGTTGCACCAAAGCTGAGTGATGGTTACTATCTATCAGTTTTTGTTGGTTATGGTTTGCCAGAAACAGCACCAACCATTGGATTATCAGCAACATTCAAAGGGTTTTTCTTGGGTCCTAAAAGGGAAGCTTTGTCTGAATTGAACAAGGCCTTTCCGGAGCTACATTTCCGAGAAGGAGATTGCAAGGAAATGAGCTGGATTGAATCCGTAGTCTATTTCTCTGGATTGAAACCAGCAGGAAGCAGCAGCTCCATGACCATCTCTCAGTTAAACAATCGTTACCTTATAGACAAGTTATTTTTCAAGGCTAAATCAGACTACGTGAGGACCCCGATTTCGAGTAGGGGAATCAGGGCTGCAATAGACATATTAGAGAAAGAACCAAAAGGATACGTGATCTTAGATCCTTATGGGGGATTCATGGAAAAAACTGACACTGAATCCATCGCTTTCCCTCACCGAAAAGGCAACCTTTTCTCAATTCAGTACATGGTGGAGTGGAATGAAAAGGACGAGCAACAGAACAGGAGCAATGGTTACATAAACTGGATACGAGGATTCTACAGTTCAATGAGCACTTTTGTTTCATCAGCACCCAGAGCTGCTTACATCAATTACATGGATCTTGACCTTGGTGTGATGAACACTAGCAATGAAATGGAATTGCTAATGCTAAATGGCAACGCCCCATCTTCAGATGCCGTGGAAAGGGCCAGAGTTTGGGGTGAGAAGTATTTCTTGAGTAACTATGATAAACTAGTGAGAGCTAAAACTCTTATTGATCCGCTCAATATTTTTAGGCATCAACAGGGCATTCCTCCCTTGTCAACGTCCACTTCCTGAAGTAGCCAGCTAAACTACTGCTAGTTACTGTTCACCAATCTGCAGAACAAATGAGACTTTTTTGGTCTGCATACCATTTGATGTCAATTAGCAGGCATATCATAAGAACACTTTTCATTGTTTTTCATGCACGTTCCGTTCTTGTACGCATAACATTTCATTGAAGATGACCGACAACATATAACATATGCAACTTAATTAATTGCATGGAAGTAGTTAGGTAGATTCAATTAACGACTTGTACACTACGTGAATATATTTTATTCAATTATTGTGTATCACTTATCATTATTTCTTAGGAAAAAAATATTGAATGTCGCCTAACTTTTAAGTTCGTGTATTTTAATCCTCCAATTATAAATTGTATCATTTTACCATATGAACTTTTAAATGTATCATTTTCATCCTTCCCTTCTATTTATGCCATTAACCCTAGTGGCACCTCCTTCAAAACAAGTAGTATTTTGATTCTTCAGTTTATTTCTACCATTGTTCAATCATCCTCCACCCCTTAGAACTTTTTTTAACCTTAAAAGACTTCAATTGCTGTCGAACTTTTAGGTTTGTATTCTTTAACCCTCCAACTATCAATTGCATCCTTTTGCCATCTCAACTTTTAAATGTTTATTATTTTGATCCTGCCATTTATGTCTACCATTAACTCTTCAACCATTTTGTTGTACTACTTGTAATAGTTTCTAGAACTGGTGCTTGGAACTTGCTTCAACAAAGATATCATCTTTTTTACACAACATATGCAACAATCGAAAGATGGAAAATATGATTAAGTTTGTACAATAAGTGTTTAATGAGAATAAATTAAGAGGGGCTGTAAGTGTTAATTTTTTGTACGAGCCAATTAAATCATTTTGGATGAAATGTACCATCGTGACATTGTCTAAACTCATTTTACCTAAAGTCCAAGGCCTGATTAAGACAGATGATTCTTATAGTCCAAATACTAGAATCACCACAGTCCAAATTAGAATTCCAAATACTAGAATCACAACCAACATAAGAACAACATAAAAGCCATCCAAATTACACTCCAAATACTAGAACCAACCAAGAACAAGATAACAGTTCAGGTACAGTCTGGGAAAAAGTTAACAGAAAGTCCAAGATGCTCCAGTCAAAGCCTATCATCATCTTCATCATTATAAGCAGCCATGTCACTCTAAGATCAGCGTCTTGTTGCTATTTGTTCCTTTTCATTGTGATGTGGCATGCAGACTCGTGTGTGGCAAAGAATGATATCCACCTGAAAAAATGATCAAGGCCAGGCTGGAAATAATTAATTGACTCGAGAATCTGCAGCTTCTTTTGAATTCTTAAGGTTTTACACGGCCATTGCAGGCTAGCACTAGAACTAAGTAATTAGCCAATGGTGGCCCAACTTAATACGCAGAGGCAAGTTAGCAACGGAGTTAGTGGATTTGCATCGTTGTTGTTATTTATGCATGGCATGTATCACTATTACTAGTTATTTTATCTTCTTTGCCAAGGAGACTGTCATGTTACAATATCTTTAAAGGGGCAAAGTTTCAGAAGCATCCGATCAAGTTTTGACAAGAGAAATGCCGAATCATAGAGATAACAGAATGAAGTTTTTTTTTTTTTTGGTGCTGAGTTTTCATTTCATTTGACCATAATAAATAAATTACATTGAGAGGACCTTGTAGGAAAATTTGTTCTCCTTTCTTTACTTCATCCTTTGGGTAACAAGAGCACCCGATCTCACACATAGCCGTCTAGACAAATTATACATCCAGTTATTTTTATAAGTTTTAAGACTAACTTTAATTTCTTAAAATGGACAAAAGACTAGATTTAATTTCTTCATCCTTTGAGTTTTGTATTTTATGAGAGGCTTTTTCCTATTCTGTGTACTTAAGGCACAAGATAAGCACATGAAGAAAAGAGGAGGGCAGAATCCATTATAAAAATTTGATTTTATGCTATTTGGTATTTTTTTAAACTTTTTTTTCCTTTTTTTTTCTGGAGCTAATTTCAGCCGAATGATAACTCTTTTTAATGCGTGGTTTTTTAAAAAAAAAAAAAAAAAAAAAAAATCTGGCGTAGGTCAGTTTTATATTGATGTCGTTAATTTTGTCTTTATTTCGGTTCCTCTTGGAGTTACTTTCCTACAATTCTTCAATTTTCTCTTCTTCAATTCAGTATGCTTGCTTACAGTTCAGCCAAGTTACTTTTCCTTTAATTTCCAGCCACTTTTCATATTTTAGTACTATCATTTTCCTATTTATGAAAGCCGAGTATTAATCTCCAATTTGCAAATTCCTTACTGCGATTCAATTTGGTTTTGTTTAGTTTATTCCTAATACCCATCTAGTAGTTTTATTTGCCTGGGTCGCTTTCAGAGCGCTTCATTGAGCTACCGCAGAAATCTTTGAGTCAGGTTCTTGGTATTTTTTTTTTAGGGAAAAATACCTTGGTGTCTTTTAAACTAGGGTAAAAAAAAAAAAAGTCCCATGTGGTAAACTTGTTACACAGATAAGCCCCTCGTGGTTTCAAAATATACAGCACGACACCCCGTATTTTGAACTAACTTGTAAAGGTGATGAAATCCGTTAAACTTAACGAAAATGGACGAAATGACCAAAATACCCTGATATAATTAAGCAAAAGACAGCTCAAAAAAATCATTTGTTTTATTTTCTAATAGAGAGAATTGAGGGTAAAGGGTAGAACAGGCATATTTGTTAAAAATTAGGTATAAAATTTTTTTTTTTAGGTTCCAATAAATCATTTCTGTTAGGTTTAACGGATTCCATCACCTTTACAATTTAGTTCAAAGTAGGGGTGTCGTGTTATATATTTTGAAACCACAGAGGATTTTTCTGTGTATTAAATTCATCACAGAGGACTTTTTTATATTTTACCCTTAAACTATTAAGAAGTTAAACTTTTGACTTTCCAACACTACTAAATGTATACTTCAAGCCTTCCAACTAATTAAAAGGTCTGCGCATAGTTCTTCCATCAACTAGAGTTGTTATGTGTAACAGAAATAGCAAGAGGGATAAACAAGAAGCGTTTTTATCCGCACAAGTTATGGGTTAGGGTAAGGTAAAATCATTTCGCTACTTGGTAAATGACAAGTCAATTTGAAAACTCTCCACTTCTTACACGAAGAAGATTTGAAAACCCAAAACCCTCAACGAGAAATTTCGGCTGTAGTTGCTTGAAGGACCGTAGATATCTGTAAGTGAAAGACATTGACCAATGTGCATGCATCGATAATGGATTAGAGAATCAGAAGAAGAAGGGATGATTTCATTGGACCATACACAGTGTACGATATGTCAATTTTGAAGCTCTTACAACTCTATGATTTTTCATTCATTTGTAGATATGTCTGGTGGGGTGGGAACAACTTGAAGTATAGTGTTCATTATGGGTGGTTTAGGGTGTTGGGTACAGATGGTCTCAATAGTGGTTGAAGATGGTCCTAATCATGGGGTTTTATTGTAAAAAAAAAAAAAAAAAAAAAAGTAATGTGGTCTTGACCTCTTTATGCCAATGGGCCATGGAGTAAGGTTTAAGATAACAGAGTGGATTTGTATATTATTAGTTGTTGACTAAAGTAGACATTATTTTAGTCGACAACATTAGAATCTAGTATGTATACATGGTTTTTAAATTGGATTACTTGCTGATTAACTAATGAAATAATAAATTATTTACTGATTATCATGTGCGTGCGCTTTTGTCCACATTCTGCTCTTTGACTAGCGTACATGATTTTTCACCAAGGAGTCTTTAAGTTCATTCTGCTGCTTATAATTAATTTTATAAACGCTAATTCTGTAATAACTCAAATGCTTTTTACAAGTTCTCTGATTATTTTTTGATGCCTTCATTGAGCTAAACCATCGTTTGCTGGAGTGTGGTTCATAATTACTACTATCATTGGTATGTTCAATATGGTTATGTAAATGTTCTACATTTAGATACCTTAAATGTAAGAGAGAATGTTACTTTGTGTCTTTTCTGATGGAATTCCTGAAACGTATATTGTATATTGTAGAATGTAAACTTGTTTATAATTCTGCAGAGAACAAGTCTGTATTTCAGGCAGAAACTTGTGTATGTGATTCATGTGTATGCATATATGTGTATGTTTTTCTATAAGCTAGTGCTCTTCTAAGACATGAATATTGAGTTGCTCATCCTCATGAGCATTGTGCATTAACCAATAAAGATTTGGTAATGCCTGGACACTGCAGCTGAACTCTTTGTCTTCTATCGAAGTGTTTCTCATGCTTTCATGAATTTCTTTTATGATTCTTCGATGAATTTACATGCAGCAAATTCGAATTTGATACCAGTGCACATTCTTTATTCCTTGCCACAGAGCCAATTGTAATTTGAAGCGGGTTCCCAGATTCTTCTTCAAACAAGACCAACTGGTTGCCTTTGGGTTGAAGAAAGGATCTTGGTATATGGTACCTAAAATATAAAATGTCAATCTCTGATTTTGCATGTAATTCTGTGTCAGAGATGGAGTAATAAAGATAGAGCCTTTTAGCTACTTTGAGTAGCATGTTTCGTAATCAAATTGGATCATTGTAAATGTTCAAAGCATTGAGAAATTCTCCAAAGTTAAAATGATTCAAGTATTTCAAGATTCATAATCCTAGCATGAGGATCTTAAGAACTGTTGAAAGTATATGTATAAAGCTTTCCTTGTTTGAATAAAAAACATTTTGGGTCAGGTTCCATACATTGCTAAGGTGCAATATAAAGCAGTTAAATTATTTTTTTGAAGATAAATTTGGACTCCATGATTTGCTTCATTGCAGTATTTCAGAGGCTTCTGCATTTATATGTGGTGGCAACATACCAGGTCTGTGAGGGAGAGCCATCAGCTGTGAGGAATGAGACCCAGTATCTACCTATACTCTGCCCATTGATCCATGCTTCACCTTTCCCCATGGAGCCAAGATTTAATGATAAGGGATCATCACCCTCAGGAGCATCAAACAGAACCTGTTGTTCCCAATCTAAATTAGTATCTTTCAAATCGTGTACAAGTCAAACTATATATGTTCTTTTCTCTCTTTTTCTTAGGAAGAAGGAGAAGGATTGGAAAGATTGCGTAGTATTTTATAGGCATGCAAGAAGATAACAAATAGTGCAGTGAAGGTTTGAATTTTTGGAAAATGGACATTGTATTACAGAATGATCTTATATTTGCAAGTGGGTTTAAAGACCAGCATTTGTTTCTTTCAGTTGCACGAAAATCATCTGCAAGGCTCAGTATCATCTGGTAAAGTCTTTAGCTCCTATGGACTTTTGGCACCATCTTTCTTTTCAGTGGATCATCAAAGAGGTTAGGCACTTTCTAGTTTCTACTGACTAAAGAACTAAGATTCGTTTTGTTTCAAAAAGTAGCACTTGACAGTTTTTCTTTGCCCAAAATTGAGAAAAAAAATACAATGACTAAGCTCCTGAACCGTTCATCATTACCTTGTACCATGTTAGTGGTTGAGGAGAAGCACCAAATTTGCTCCACTGAGCTGCACTTGATTCTTCCAGCCATCCCACCTTTAAGTTTCATAAGTATCGTTGGTTTAAATGCATTGTTCTGAGTATAACAGATAACTAGGTATGTTCTACTAGAACTCTTATATAGTGCAAGGGCATGTCCAAATAATGCACCTTTTGAGAAAACAATATTTGAAAAACTATTTGCAAAGCCAGCAAAAATATACAAAAATCATGTTGATGAACTTGGGAAATTGCAGCCTTGACTGTGTGTTCTATTTTACTTGTACTTTCTCTTAGCTAGTTTTACATATATATAAGAAAAACTGAAATTCATAGTGATGCTAATTTGAAGGCTTATGATTAACATCAACCTGATATCCCCAGGAAGAATTGCTAAGGTCCTTGGTCCCTTGTTTGTCTTCTATAGTAACTCTCTGCAATCCGAGAGCCCTGCGCTCAAGATATGCCCCTGAATCCTACACATCACTCAAGATAAGCAGAAACAGGAAGATGGTAGAGTCTTAGTAAGATATTGATGCCTTTGATTTAGGATTTTAATCCACTTACTCTAGTGCTGAACAGATTTCTCTTTCATTGATTCTCTCGAGAAGGTGTTGTAAAAAATTGTGGAGAGTAATTAAGGTATAGATTAATGAATTTAGAGACATCCTTCTGTATGAGTTACCTCACAATGGAACAACTAACTGAAGGGGAATAATGATATGCTATTTTGGCAAGACCTGGGATAGGGTTCATGAATTTTTTTAAGTTGACAAGTATAACAAGTTAAGATGTTGCTGTCAAGTACATAGCATGACAACTGCTTTTCTCGTTTAAGAAAAGAACTAGTTAAATTGGAAGAGTTATATGAGATATTACCGGTAATCCAACTGTTGCACTGAGTAAGGAGATATTGTTCAACCCTTGACTTAAATTGATAGTTCTTTCTAGTGTAAAAGATGGATTGTTATGAGTTCCATGTGCAGAACCTGAAGAAACATGAAAAGTAAGTCCAATGAGATACTTTGTAGCCTGAAAATTTTCCAGAAAGGCAAAAATGATTTTTACACAAGATATTGTCAATTCCCTGAAGAAGATGCAAATTGTCATTCTATATCAGTTTCAGTGTAAACAAGAACATAGCTTTTGTTGTTGAAGATCCATAGTCGAGAGGATGGCATGTAGTTTTACTTGTAGTTCATTGTTATTGTGAATGTGCTTTACAAACTCAGACCAATTGTTTTGAAGCCAATTTCTTGCCTTTGCTTGGTTCTTTCTGATATAATATTGCATAAGGGAAAAGCCTCTTGTTCGAATCAGTCATTTTAGCCTGATCTTGAATCAAAAGTGAAAACTTGATATAGATGATGTATAGATGGTGACTCTTACCTGCAGGAGCTCCATTTACAAATGCATGTAAAACATGTCCCAAAGAGTCTACACTGAGTACTGGCTGAGTTTCTGATGAATCAACACTGTCATTGCAGATGTTGTAGCTGTTAGTACATGAGAATTGAATTTGGCACTTGAACATTTTGGAAACTTTTCACTTGTATTCTATAGTTAATTGGAATTTTCTCTCACCATGCAAGTGTTAGGTAGCTTAGCTAATAGCTCTCATAAGGTGGAAGGAAGCACTTCTATTAAAGATGCAATAGACAGTGATGAAACACTGTTTTGATTGGATAAATTATTCACTAGACTTTGGAAGTATACACATTGGGCTTTCTGTTTAAAAGAGGTTGATCAGGACAAAAGATTACAAAATTTTCAGAAGATGGTGCATGTCACAGCTATGGTTTTGGAGCCCATGAAACTACTAGATTGCAAATCACATAAGTGCATGCCAAATGAGATTCTTATGCTCTTACAATCTGATATGCTTTTAGTTACCTGACAGTATACCAGAGGTAATCGGATCTGTCCTTTGTAGTATTCATGTGCTCTAACAATGAGTTTGACCTCAGTGTGGTCTCTTCAAATGTGGGAACAACTTCTTTGAATTCACTCCATTGGTCGGCTGAGTCAAACTTCAATTTTGGTAAAATCAATCTCTCGTTACATTGAGCGGTTACCTGTTCAAACTTTTTAAGTAAGACTAACATTCTGATGGTTCAATTTCAGGAAGATTTCCAATCATATATAATGGAAACATCTATTTGCATGAGAAAAGGACAAGAGATATTTTTAATTCTTGGTGATTGAATTGATATTTCCAACATTTCTTCTGCAGTTTAGCAAATTCAAGGAGTAGGTGGATGTGTCATGTACACCCTTTAGACCAAACATACGTTCATCAAGTTGGGCATGTTTTATTGAGCCTAGAAGTTTCTGAGATTTAAAGATGATGAAGATCAAAGCTCCAAAACTTGCCTTGGCGGTATTGAAGGCTACATTCTTGCAATCGGGTAAAATGCTGATTGATGTTGAAGGTAGTTCATAAGAAGAATTCTGAAATTGCACCACCACTGTTTTTGCATTGTCATTGTTCACAAGTAAAGCTGCACATTCTCCTGATTCTCCATTGTATATGTAGGCCTGGATCAATCAAGTTGATCAGTGTTGGGGTGTATTTTGCATTTGATGAATATTTTATAAATTGCTTTCACACGAGAGCTGAAAGGGATAACCAGGTACTCTCATAATAATTGCTTCAGAAAAAGCTCTATATGGCAAATGAGATGAGCAGCATCTGAAAGAAATGAAATTGCTAATCTTACTTCCTGCTGCTGACCCAATGCTGCTATAGTTGCTACTCCTGAGAGTATTGTATGTGAGCATAGCTTTATCGCTGCATGTAAATCCTTGAGATGACCCCATTTTGGTTGGCTTAGAAAACCTGTCATTATGCAATAAATTTTCCTTGTTATCTGGAATACTAACAACTATCGATTGAGATTGGATTGCCTACCATATTCATCAAGAGGAGCTTGATCATAATAACTTGTGATTATGTATGATGACGCTGTCCTGCCAAAATTGGTGCCTCCATGATACTGGAGCACAACCAACATAAACCTTTAGGAACTGCAGACTTCAATTGATTAGCAAAATGTTGAAATAATTGGACAAATGGAGGTAGATTCTACTTCATCATTGATAAAATAATATGGATTTTCGTGGTAAATCAGGTATAAAAGGTTTACATATACTGTCTCGAGATGGAATAGGCGGGAAGTCTTGTCAGAATGAATCTGTTTCTTACCATGTAGTAGTTTATAAAGCTTCCGTTCTTCCTTGCTATGAATAAAGCAACATTAAACGCGATGTCCTCTGCTGATCTTAAGGGGGTCTTGTCACCATAAACTTGATAGCTTCAAGCCAAAACAGAGAACACATTCTCAGAAACTCTTGTTAAAGTCTAACCTCTATGCATCTGTATGATGAGCCTTGTTGTTTGATAGCTTACAAACTTGTCCAGTTCTCTGTCCAGAGTGCTGGTTTGTTAGGCGAATTAGGCCCTACGAATGTCACTCCACATGTCCTTCCATTACACGCGTTTATCTGCAATAACCTAAAGGGTTAGTTCTCCATTCTGTAACACCAATAGAACTGCAACAATATCCCTGTTGGATCTCCAATGCTACTCAGTTAAATGGAGAACATATCCATTATCCATAAAAAAGTAGATTCTTATTTCAAGGGCTAAACATTAAATTTGTCGTTATAGGCTAACTAAGATTGGTATGTATGTGAAGAATTTCTTGACGATATCCAGTTACTTAATAACCTGTTGCTTGACATTAAGAAAAGAGAACTAGAAACGGTTACCACGGGATCGGGAGCATCATCTTGCTTGCACATTACCCATGGGACACCAGTTTGAAGTCCCACGGCCATGGCTGCTGCCCATCGAACATAAGGTGGACCTTTGTCTCCAAAAGATTTCTCCACATTTTGGTACTCGTTCTCAATCTGCAGTATTCAACTTCATCATTGCAACTTCAAATACATGGTGCTCTCTCAACTGTGATAATAATATATCAACCTGTTGAAGAATGATAGGCCCTCCTTGTGGAGCATATAGTCCTTCTGATTTGAACAAGCTGACAATTTTGGTTGTGAAGTTTTGCATATAAAACTGTCACAAAGGCAAATGAAAATGTGATTAACATTTACATTCTACTCTGACATATTGACGTTTCTTGTCTATCGGTTATTCAGGACTCTTGATCAACAATATTCTTACTGTGAAAAAGTATGCTAAATGGACCATTGAACATTACTTTAAAGTAACCAGTCTAAATTTGAGAAGCACTTCTGCAATCTGCAAATAGATCTCTCACTTGTGCTTGGTAAAACGTACGGAATGGGATTACCTTAAAGGGCTCATTATCAGATCGAAAAACGATTCCTGGAACATCATGCAACCAAAATGGAAGACCTCTGCAACATCAAATCATTTCAATTAGTGATCAGTGATTTAGGTGTAACTTCAGTACTAAACTTCTTTTTATTTTGCAACTTTAAACGCTTTGAATACCGATAATATGGTATTCCATATAAGTATACATATTTATTCTTGATAGTTTTCCCTTTCATATGTGGACCTAACACTAATTTAAACTGGACAGAAAGTTGGTTATGCAAATATGTTCTCTGATATTGCAGTTTCAGTAACTCCTTTTACCCATATGTCCATTCACTCTCAATGAAGGGTCCAATCCGAATGCATGCATAGAGACCTTGTGCTTGAATTTCCTTGATGAATCTCACTATATCAAGTCTCCCACTGAAATCATACTGAATGGTAAAGCAACTGATTATTATCCAAGCAGATAGTATGTGGTACATACAGTTCATTGATGGATAGGATACCTGTCCAGGTTGGGGCTCATGAAGGTTCCAAAACACATAGGATTCAATCACATCCAGTCCACCAAATTTGGCCTTTGATATTAAAGATGGCCACATCTGCTATCAAAATAATTTGTCATATATTGTTTTTTCATGGCCAAGTAATTAAATGCAGAATGGAGAAAAGATGAAAATTGAGAATAATGTTACACTGCAAATATTTTTAGAGAAGTATGATTAAGGTTAGATTCAGTAAATATATACGAACTCAGCATAGTTCATCAAACTGTTGAAATTGTTTGCAGAAAAGATTATTTGCTAATTAATTCATTGAATTAGATTAATAGATCATTATTTTAGAATTGGTTAATTATTGACACAGATTCCTAAATGAACTGGATCTGTCATGACATTTGCTTGATGGTGAATGATCTTGAATACACCATAAAAGGACAGAAAACTTCTCAAAGTTTGTCAGACAATTGTCACTACTGATTGGTGCTCATGAGATGTTCTCTTTTCTTGTCATTGTACAAAAGAAACAAAGAGAAAATTGATAACGCGAATAATAAGTTTATCCAAAAAAAAAGTTTATAATGATAATTGTGGGTTGGTATATATCCTTGACAAATGATAAGAGCTAAAAACACATTCAAGAAGACAAGAAATAGATCCAACTAGCACTGCTCCCTTGTGAATTTGCGAAGAGACCTTGGTGCGTACGTAAGACGTCAGAGGAACATGGTATAGGGGCAACATGTGACATGAAAACAGACAAAATTACATAGAAAACTTCGACCCGTGTGTATTGTAATTTTTTGGGAGTTTTCATATATAAATATATATATAGATACACAAAAAAAATATTTTTTAAAATGTGATATATGTAAGATAAAAAAGTAATTGAAAAATGTGATAAGAGATAATATCACAAAAAACCCATAAAATTTTTCTGTAAAAGATGCAATTCAAACAGGGATTCATATTTTAACGTGCATATGAATAATATAATGTAACATTTTTTTGAGTACTATATATTAGACGGGTTTGTCTATTGGGTACCTTGAGGGGACCAAATAAGAAATGAGCTCAGTGTTAGTTTCTTTTTAACAAAAAGATAAATTTGTTTTGTGAAAGTGTTGTAAATTTGGGGATAATTGATAATTTTAAAGGTTAAACGGTAGGTCCATCTTCCTTTTTTGAGGTCACCAAATAGAAAAAGACTATCGAATTAGAGTTGGTAAATCTTGCGTCAATGAAAAGTTATCCATCCTTTTGACACTCTATCCATGGTCTCTCACCAACCCTCTTTTGAGAAAATAAGGGTGCATTGTATAAATTAAAATATAAAATATGAAATATAAATACTTAAAATCTAAAAATTTGAATCCGTTAAAATTATTAAATTGTTAAGTTTAAAATCCCAACAATCGAGTATATTCTGCATTAAATAATAAGTAAGCAATTTATCACTAATTTTTTAGAATATGTTCAACCCAAACAATTTAGGACCACTTAATTAATTAAGACAATCTATTTTTGGTTATCAAACACGCTTGAGTACATTAAAATTCATGAATCAACAATGACAATTATCACACGCAGTTAACATCTCACACAGGAATTGCATTCGATTGGGAAGATGGTTCACCACAATGTAATGAAACAACATCATCAATTAACACACTGTTCACGTATTTTTGACCTTTGCATTCCAAATCAATTTATAAGGCAGAGATTGATTGAGGAGAGCTAGTAGACATGGAATTGGGTAGGTGAAAACTAAAATCCCAAATAAACCACATCCAGGCTTTTGTTGGCAAAACCACATGGCTCAGACTTGGAAAATAAGACTGTACAAAACACATTTTGTGCGTAATTTTACCCCCAAATTAATTAGTTCAACTAAACTCATATAAAAGAAATCAAAAGAGGCATATGATAACTTTTTTGAGGTTAACATGTACAAAAATAATCACTATTTTAGCACGTATCAAAGTGTGACAAAATTTATGAGGTTAACATGTCACGAAAATAATTACTATTTTTAATCTTTCTGGAAAGTTTTCTTGGCCACATGAATCATGGTAACCGTACAGACTTGGACTCATGACCAAGCTATCTACCCATTGCACCCCATAAGACTTGTATAACATACTTAAATCTGTTAGTCACATTTAAGAAAATTCTGCCTCCCATCCCAACTTATTAACCTATTATCAGTTACTTGAAACTAGCATCAAATTAAGTGAGTACTCATGAAACAGAATTTGGTGTTGTAAGAACGTTAATGCTGTTCTATATATACCATCATCTTCTTGTAGCAATCTAAGCAAATACTTCCCTAAATGTAATGGCTAAAATGTCTATTAGCGTCCCTATCTTGTGTACAGGATTTGGCCCCAAAAAAATGACCAAAGGCCTAAATTTTGAAGAATCGAAACAAAAACAATGAGCTCCAAATTCAAAATGTTGCTTTCTCCCTTCACCCCAAAAATAAACCAAGAATTATTAACCTCAACAGATGGATTTCTTTAAAACCAAGAACTTACCTACCGCAGAAAGCTGTATAAAGTTGTTGAACAAACTGCATGAGTTCCAATCCAGCACTAATTTATCACTTTCTAACACACACACAAAGATACAGGACATGGAGAGATTTGAGAGAGAACATACATCAGGGGTGCTTCGAGGGTAATGAATTGAACCAGAAAACAGAAGTTTTCTTTGCCCATCAATTATCAGTGATCTTCCATCATAAGTGACTTCTGCTCCATGACCAGCCCTTGCCACCAAAATCACTACTAAGCAGAAACAGCTTAACCTGCAAAATGCATCCATCTCCTCCAATGGCCGAAAAATGGTGTCCCCTACTTTGCATGCAGTGATATATATATATTGTCAAGAATGCTAGTTATCTATAGAGGTAATGATAAGGCATTCCAGTTTCCTAAGACCCAAGAAGGAGAATGCTTTTCTGTCCTATTTATAAGATTTTCTGTTCTGTCACTCTTTCTGATGTCTGTATCTATAAACTTCGGAATATGACGCTTGGAAGCCAAGTTAGGCAAAATCTTTATTATAATTATGCTGAAAGCTAGATTTGATGCTACAAAATATGCACAGATTTGGCATGAAATATGCCATAAAAATAGCAGCAAATTTGTCTTTTTCTTGAAAACTAAAATAATAGGTTCATCTAACTAGCTAGCGTCCAATATCCACCGCTAAGTAAAAATTTTTTGAAAAGAGAAAGTTAAATAAAAAAATTATCTACATGCCATAGAGGACAATATATAAATGGGCAAAATATACTTTAACCCCTGTAGTTTAGCATTTTTTCACATAATACCCTTATGGTTTCAAAAACTATACATAATCCCTTTATGGTTTGGATTAAAGTGTCAAAATGACGGAATTTGTATTGCATAATGGAGTCAACTAAAATATCAAAAGCACCCATATATAAAGTTGAAAATTATTTGTTAATCAAGGAGGGTTATATATATATTTTAAAAATCATAAGGGGATTATATGGTAAAACACTAAACTAGAAGGAGGTTATATGGTAAAACATAAAATCATACAAGATTAAAATGTCATGCATATTATGTTTATATATTGGTCATTTCAACCATTTTAGTTTTTAAACAAGAGTAATATCGACATTTTCATGAGTTCCGTCACAAATGATAATTTCCATTATTTTGACACTTCAATCCAAATTATAAGAGGGTTATATATAGTTGTTGAAACTACAAAGGAGTTATGCGAAAAATTACTAAATCACAGGGAGGCAAAGTATACTTTGCCCTATATAAATTGAATTCGTGCATATACAGATTGTAAATTATGTAACTAATAATTGCCCTTAGGCATCTCAAAGGTAATTTCTTTTCCAAATCATTTCTAAATTTGGTTTTCACATAAGAGATATTCTTTACAAGAAATCAATATACGGAAATCTTATGAGTGTGGTAAACGTACAGAAAAATTGGTAGTTTAGTTATACTTTCGTGTAAAGAAAGAGAAGAAAGGGACGAGAAGAAACAATAAGCTGATTTGCGTGGAGTTGGAAGATTGTTTTCGTGTGAAGAGAAACAGAAAGATATACGTGATACACATTTAATGGGGTTTCAATAGTGCAAGCTAGTTATACCATTGCCACCTGAATTGGATGTTAGTTTCTAGGTGGACCGCAATAGCAAATTATGTATATATCTTTTTTTCATGAAGACAAATATATGCAACAAAACAAAATCACCATGGTTTTATATATAATTTTTTTTCTTTTTTTTTCAATTTTTTTTCTAACAGAGAGGGGATGAGATTTAAAATTTAAAAGATGATAGTGCCAACCAAGTTTTCATTACAGTTTGTCCAACTTAATTGGTGTCCCCAGTGTTATTTTTATGGAAAAATGGGTCCAAATCGAGGAAGTGACTATACGAAAATGTAATTTTTTTTAATGAGTCATGACAGTGAATTAAAATAGTTCTTGAAAAACCACAAGGAAAATCACTTTCTTGAATATGAAATCATCTTTTTTTTGGGGGGGGGGGTGGTGGTTGGGCATAGACCCCAATATGTTTATTAAAAAATTTTGGAAGAGTAAATGTTGGAAATTTTTCAAAATTTGTATGATGTATATACATGTATTATATTATGAATAATTCTAAATTGTACATACATTATAATAAATGTATATTCATTCATGTTTTTTATGTACATACATGTATTGTATTATGAATGATTCTAAAATGTATATACATTATAATAAATGTATATTCATTCATGAATTTGAATGTATATATATATATATATATATATTTATGTATGTGCAGATCATTGAATGTAACGATAGATTCATGTCTTTGATCATAGGATCATGAGATGCTTGAATCAAAGTGTATGAATTTGTGTTGGGAATATTGCAACAAACTGGCATTATGACAAGAATTGGCTTCAAATCATGATAGAATATCACTTTCCTTTAGAATTTATTTGTCCGGTATAACGTATAATAACTTTGGACAAATATCCTTTAGGATAAGATGAAATTTGTTTGTCTTAAACTCTTGCACAAAGCAAGACAAACCCTCTTAAATTAAGGAGTGCTTTTTGAGAGAATTCAAAATAGTAGGAAAGTGATTTTGTGCAGCAAATCTACTTGACCTCTAAGAGAAATTGTTAAAGAAACAAAAGAACCCATTAAATACTTGTATGAATAGATTCAAGATATTATGTACAAATTCATGCACTTTGATTCATGCATTTCAAGATCCTAAGATAAAAAACATGAATATATCCTTACATTCAAGAATCTCTGCATACATGAATATATATACATTCAAATTCATGAATGAATATATATAATGTATGTACATTTTAGAATCATTAATAATATAATACATGTATGTACATCAAAGACATGAATGAATATACATCTATTGTAATGTATGTAAAATTTATAATCATTCATAATACAATACATGTATGTACATCATACAAATTTTGAAAAATTTTCAACAATCCCCCGCCATTTTCAAAATTTAGAAAATGGACTTCCAAAAGGTCACCGAATAATCTAACACTCATATGCATAAATAATGGTGTCTTCCGATTAACCACTATTTTAGTGAAGGTTCTTAGAAATCAATCCTACAAGATGGTAAACAAGTTTTGAACCACTTGAATATGGGACCAACCTCATAAACACATCACACACTGAGTAATGCACAATCATAAGCTCTTCAACGATACATTTTATGGTCTTGTATCACTATCCTTTCATGAATGCTACAAAGCAAACCCCTTAACTTTGTGGTTTGTCGAAAATCAACATCCATATAGGCGATATCTTAGTGTCTTCACCATAAATAGCATTTTTTAAGATTCGTTAAGAATCCAATGACTCACCCTTATATTTGCACTGGCGAGAATAACATGCACTATTTTACATTGGAATGTCTTAACTTCATATAGTGCACCAACCACTAGAATGATGTACTTTCACTCATTGAATTGAAGATTAGATGTTGTATCTAGCGTTGAATTGAGGTTCCACCATTAGTGATCAAGAATTTTGGATTTTAAATCAATCCCCCTTGATGTCCTTAACACCAAATTTCTTGATAACTCTTTTGTCAAAGGATCACTCAAATTTTCATTAGATCTCACAAAGTCAATTGATATAACTCCATTTGTGATCAAATCTTTGACATAACTGTGTCTTAAACCGATATGTCTTAACTTACCACTATATACTTGACTATATGCTTTAGCAAGTGTAGCTGCACTATCATAATGTATTGAGATAGGCGACAAAGGTGTTGGCCACAACGGTATATCACAAAGTAAATTACATAGCCATTCAATTTCTTTACAAACTGAAACAAGTGCTACAAATTCTGCTACCATTGTTGAATTGGTAATACAAGTCTGTTTCTTAGAACCCCAAGAAACTGCACCTCCACTAAAGATCCAACCACTTGTCAATGAGTGATCATCTTTATTAGTGATCCAACTAGCATCTGAAAATCCTTCTAAAATTGAAGGCTAACCGATATAACATATATCATAGTTCTTAGTGGCCTTTAAATATTTTAAAATTCTGGTTACACCTTGCCAATGTAACCTACTAGAGTTGTTTGTATATCTACTTAATGTACCAACTGCATATGCAATATCAAGTCTAGTACAAGTCATTGCATACAATAAATACCCTATAATCTTGGTATATTCCAATTGAGATTTTGGATCCCCTTTATTTTTCACAAAGTTTATTTTGGGATCCAATGGTGTTGAGGTTGGAATACAATCACTTTGATTGATCTTGTTAAGAATCTTTTCAATATAATGCGATTCAGACAACATTATATTGTTATCGTTTTTTAAGATTCTTATATCAAGAATGACATCTACCTCACACCCACGTCTTTCATGTCAAATTTACTTGAAAGCAAAGTTTTGGTGACTTCAACTTGCTCCAAGTCAGTCCCAAAAATTAACATGTCATCAATATATAAACAAATTATGACACCTTTGCCATTATTAAACTTGCTATAAACGCATTTATCAGATTCATTTATCTTAAATCCACTAGCAAGAATAATTTGATCAAATTTCTGATGCCATTGTTTCGGTGCTTGCTTTAGTTCATATAAAAACTTTACAAGTTTACATACCTTATACTCTTGACCAGGTACTACAAACCCTTCAAATTGCTCCATATATATTTCTTCATCCAAATCACCATTCAAGAATGCTATTTTAACATCCATTTGGTGAATGACTAGATTTTGGATATGAACTATAGCAAGTAGTACTCTAATTGTAGCAATTCTAACTACTGGAGAATATGTGTCAAAATAGTCCATACCATACTTTTGTATAAATTCTTTGACAATCAATCTGGTTTTGAACTTATCAATAATTTCATCAATCTTCATTTTCTTCTTGAAGATCCACATACAACCAATTGGTTTTGAACCAGGTGGTGAGTCTACTAATTTTCAAGTTTTATTACCGTAATTGAGTCCATCTCATCATTTACAGATTCTCCTTCCAAAAAGGAGTATCTTGTGATTTTATTGATTCTTCATAGGTTTTGGGATCAGTTTTAGTATTGAAGCAATATGAAATTTGGTTGTTCACTGTATCTCTAGTTCCTTCAACTAGATACATATAGAAGTCCAAACCGAAATCTTTTGACTTTCTAGCTCTTTTGCTCCTTCTCAATTCAATGGTTTCATTTTCACTATATTTTGTCAATTCACTTGATTTTGGGATAACATCTTTTATAAAGGTGAACTTATTTTCTTCAAAAATAGCATCCCTAAATTTAATTATGGTATTAATCGAAATTGAATCATTAGATTCAATTACCATAAATCTATAAGCTTTGGTATTCTGTGCA